TTTCGTTGCTATTTTCATCACTTTTTTCTTCACCTGATAGGTCACTGTTATTCTTACTATTTTTTTCCATTTCACTAGATTGATCGTCGCTACTTTGATCACTTTTTTCTTCTCCAGATGGTTGTCCACCGATACTTTGAAGTGTTGTGGTACCTCTTTTTCTAGCAGCAGTTAAGCTCTCAGCATTTTCTTTAGCATTTGGATTGGATGAAGATGTTCCAGTTCTCTTCCTCTTATATTGAAGCATTATAACTACACTAAAATAGTTAAAAGTTAGTAAATAGTAAGAAATTAACTGAATAGGATCAACAGAAAAGGAGCAATAGTGGTACATTATAGATCAATAATTAAATTATTTGTCCTACAACTAATCAGTTGACCAACAATTAAACACAATTGTCTAACAACTGCAGTAGTTGTTGGGACAACTTCTGAATCGTCGGACAACTACAGGAAGTTGTTGGACAATTTCTGTATTAACAAAAATATAGTTATTTCTATAAACAACTTCAGTAGTTGTCCAAACAACTACTTAAGTTGTTGGCTGAAACAACTAAATTGAATTCACTAAACCCAGCTGAAGAATGGACACAAAATATTTTTTGTACTTATCAAAAATGCTCTTTTGAGTTAATTTCAAGTTCTAACGGAATAAATATAATGTAAAAAAAACAAAAAAATATAATAGCAAGATGATGATGATTTTCATCTTTATTAAACCCTAATCTTATCCTTTGAAATAGAAAAGAGAAGAAAATTTACCTTGTATTAGAAGCTACTGATTGAAAAGAAAAACACAGCAAACTCAAAGAAGTTTTGATGATTTTGAAGATGAAGAAGAAATTTTTTTTTGAAAAAAAAAAGTCCCGTTCTTGGATTCCAATATTCCCCTGTAACTTCAGTTTTAAAAAGAAAATTGAATAAGTTAAAAAGTTTTTTCCATTCTTAATATGCTTCACAATTTAAAATAAAGTCTCCTAAGTTTTAAAAATACTAATTTGGTCCAATATATTAATTAAAAGTTAAATTAAATTGAGGAAGAGATGAAGAGGCCCCACTTGTCCCTTTTTTTAATTGGAGACTTGTGAGGCATTCTTACCTCATTTTCCCTTTTCAGCCACCCCTTCCCCATCGCTGCCCAAACCTCTTTTTTTTTTCTCCACACCATAGTTATCTTCTTTAGCCCGATCTTGGCATTGGCACTTTGGTGACATCAGGTTTCATGGCGATTATCAGTGGAGGGAGAGAGTCGTGTTGGTTTCATGGCGGTGCTCAGCGATCCGCAATGGTGTGAGAGGGAGAGAGGCAACTCTGGTCCCTTTTTCGCTAGAATGAGAGCGATGTTGGTCCTTTTTCCCGCCAGAATATGAGGCGGCGGTCAGCGAGGGATTTTGTAGGTACGCCGGAGAGGAAGGAGAGGGGAGTTTGCAGGTCCCCATCTTCAATCTTTCATAGCAATCATCTCCTTCTAATCTCTTAAACTTGTCTTTTTCAACCCGTTTCGATAACCCAAGAAAATCTCAGGCGAATTTTGGGTAGATTTCAACGAGTTTCACCGTAGATGTTGGTGTGAAATTGTATTTGTAAGCAATTTGGGGTGTGAAAATAGTAGTCGGCGTTGGATTGCGAAAAGTTTGGCCAGATCTAGTTGTTAGGTGGCTTAGGTTGTTGTTATTGTGGAGGTTGGAGGAGGAAAGAAAATTAGTGATGGTGTGCAGCGGAGATGAAGACGGGTGAGGGAGAAAGTATATGTGATTTC